GGATGTAGACATTTTAAACAAACAAACTGCAATAAAAATTAATACACTTTAAATGGCTTAGTTAAAAATATAATAGGGAGGGAGGGAGGGAGGGAGGGAGGGAGGAAGGAAGGAAGGAAGGAAGGAAGCCATACATTGGCTAAGATCTTATGATCTGAGACTCATAATCATAGGTAAATTCACAAGAACAAAAGAAGTTACCATAAACTGTTGTTCTATCTAGACCAGTAGGGCTGACTCTCACTAGTGGTGGCTCTCTCTGGGCTTTCAGGTGTAGTCTTTTCCTAGTCCTACTTGGAGATGCTGGGGATTGAACCTGGATCTTCTTTACAGAGAACACATGCTTTGCCACTGATTTGCAGTTCCTTCTAAAAGTCCTTTGCAAATAACACATGGAACAACTTTCCCAGCTCAACAGAAAGGGAATCATTTGTGGAAAATAGCGTCCAAGTGACAATGGCTAAACTTCTATCTCTATTAAACAGTGACATTCAGAGCCCAAGATAAGTCTCCTCGCTGTCTAATGTCCCATATATACATTTCTGTTCTGGGCCTTAGAGTACACTGCAGAGTCATCACTTGGATTTGTTGACACCCCATTTTCTTTTAATCTGCTTATATTTTAATATATTTTATCTTTTATCCCTGTGCTTTATAGGAAGAGTAAAGAAGCAAAAATCATTCAAGCAGAGTTCACATCCATCTGTGGGGTGTGTAGAAAGATGTATTTTCTTTTCTGCTCTATAAAGCTGTTGTGCTCCAAGTAAATTATTTCCAAACCACAAAAAAATAAATCTGTAACAGCTGTATTGATGACCTCTGACCCCCTCCCATGCCATATGTTCAAGAAAACCATGGTTCTAAAGAGCTGCTTCAATCACACGTTTGCGAACTCTTCTGTAGTGCAAACATATATCAGAGTGCAAATATTGATATGTTCCCAAAAGCAACATGGTGGGTGTAAAAGTAACTTTTCTTTTTGCTAGTAAAACAGGCAGCGGGTTTATTTTGATTGTTAAGCTTAGACTACCAGATACAAAACCAAGAATGCCTCAAGTGTTCATATGCTTACGTTCCAGGGGGAGAGAGAGAGAAAGAAGCAACAGTTAAGGGAATTATTTTTCATATGTGTATAAATACACCCCTGGTTCCCAGATCCATCCCCCTTGGGGTTATTATGCATGCAGTAGAGATGAGGGGGAAATCTGTTCAGATGAAAAATGTGCACTTCCTGAACCGCCTTTAGCACGTTTTTTAGCAGAAAAATTAGATCAATTAAGTAAAGAAATAAGTAGAGCAAATACATTAACTGATATGAGGCCAGATTCTGGAAGGATAGCTCCAGGAGTTAGGTATCTGGCTGCAGAGCCAGAATATCTCATTTATCTGAATGTTATGATTCTGGAAGGATAGCTCCAGGAGTTACGTATCTGGCTGCAGAGCCAGAGATTGGGAGTTTCAAACCCCCATGCTACATCCCAAAAGAGTAAGCCTAATGTGGCCTTGGGCAAACTTCCTAGAAAGCCCTGAAAAGGGCCACCACAAGTCAAAATTGACTTCATGGGACACAGTCATTATTATTTATCATTTAGCTGCCCAAAAATGTATGTATGATTTTTGTGGGGGTTTTAATAATTGCAAACTGATGAAGAAACGTGATAAAACAAACCTGACATAAGAAACAAGAAGGACAGAATGAAACTGATAAATTTGTCCACCTCAAGATGTCCACCAGAAGATGGTTGGGTTCACCACAACTGCTCCTCTTGATTCCAGGCCAGAAATGAGTTTCCTCGTTTATAGCTGATTTATGAGGGAATTCATGGAGAGGTTTTACACAAGTTCCCTCTACTCTTACCGTTCATTGTTGTTTTCAAGATTCACCTGATCCACACTATCACTAGTCATGGGAAGCATGAGTGTTGATGGTTCAGCCATCAATTTTTCAAAGTGGAGTCAAAAGAGAAAGAAAATGGGTTGGTCTGTTTCAAAATTGCACTTTAGATCTTTCTTGCACCTCTCTCAGTCTCCAACAGTAAGTGGGAGGAGCAATTGAACACCGCCATGGTCACCATTATCAATGACATAAGGTAGTGGGTGTTCTTCTTCTCTTTCCCCCTGCCTGTTTCCAACTGAAACATCTCTGTTCCTACTTCTGGTCTCCATTGATATACCTTCCAATGGAATTAGTAGTTGACATGATGAGATGTTAACATACTCTTTTCAAATGTTATAATGTTTCAACGTTAAAACATTCGAGTGAGATGAACTGGCCTGGTGTTCAGTAGCTCTACTATCTCCTGGTCAAAGCGAGCAAGCCCCCACTGATACCCAGTAAATGCACTACTACAGGGAGAAAGTCTATTGAGGGCTTTACCTCTACCCCCACTGGAGTGTGAAAAACAAATGAGTGGGGAAAAGGGGATTTTTTCTTTGTTAGGATATGAGGATCATCAAATGCACAAAGATGAGTAAGGTACCTGTATATCAGGAGAAAAATAGCACACCATGCAGATGGATACTGTGACATCAATTGCAAAAATCAATGATAATGAAAGGTGAAAGTGGTGAAAAGGGAAAACGGTAGGTGTGAATTTCCCCAGTGCGCTATCTCTATGCTGTTTTCAGTTACATTGGTGAGGGCACAGCCTTTATTTGTTCTACATTTGAAATGGGGAAAAGTTCAGGCCTTTTGAGGAGGGGGCAGGTTTATTGATACAGTTTAGGGGTGTGAATCTAGATGCTTCTCAGTCCTACAGCTTTCTATGGGATTTTCTGCTTTGTTTCTTCCCGTCCTGGGATTATTTGGCCAGCAAAATGTCTTTAGTCTCTTCCTGTGAAGTCCTTCAAACAATTCCTTGGACACTGCATAGGAATTGATGCCATTCTCTACAGGATTCGTTGACAGCACCTAGACAAAGCATACCTATTTCTTCCTGCACAAGATTAAGTTTGAAGTACTGCACTTCTTGTGCCTTAAGTATTATCCTGTGCAGGATTTTTGTATCTCTTTGTTGCTTTGTAGCTCTTGCCTGTTTTAGGCTCTTAAGCAAGTCTGTCCCAAAGGGCTTGTGCACCATCCCATGCAGTGACTAACACAACCATTTAAAACTGAGCAATATTAAGAGTCTGAAACTGGCAACAGAAATAAAGAGACAGACACAGGCAGAACAAGGCTATTAATCTCACACAGGAAATTGGTGGAAATAATGGGATGGAGAGATACCAAAGAACCAGCACTCTGCAATTCCCACCCTCTGTTGCTCTGAAAAAATCTCCCAATCTCTGTGGAGGTCCCACATGAGTTTCCCATCAGGGCATATGATAAACATCACCAGGACTGGGGAGGAAAAAAACCCCTGCTAAGTACTCATTACATCCCTAGTTCAGTTTATAACACCACAAACAGTTCCATAGCAAGATAGACTGAAGTGAGTGGGCAGGAAGTAACCGCACGACTGCCAGAACATTAATACATGCTGTGGAATAAAAATCATTTAATTGAATCAAGTATTAGGAAAACAAATGAAATATATTCTATAGCTTGTCAATGATCCCAGGCCATTTGCCAGAATACCAGAAAGCAGAAACAAATTTTAATTTGCACTAAATTACTCGGTAGTATTGTCGTCATCTCAGAACTGTGGAGCTGGAAGGGACCCTATGAATCATTAAATCCAGGCCCTGTCACAGAGGCACAGTGGACAATCCCAACTTCTGGCTCTGCATACTGCCTGCAAATATTTTATTACCTCCCCACTTGCAGAACAGCTCAGAGAATTCTCAAAATTTCAGCATTAATTTAAAAACGGAGTAAGGCTGTTTTATCCCCAACCCCATATCACACCATTTCTCAGAGAACTGGATTTTCTGCTCTGATAAAAGGGTTACATACCGCAGCCATGGAGTTGATGCGGTCTATGTAATAGTCCGGCCAACTGGTAGCAAGTTTATTAGGGTCTTCTTGCTCCTGAAAGAGAAAAAATGAGGAAAATTATATGAAAGAGGCACACCAACTCCAATGTGCCATATTACATGGCCAGAAAACACATAAAATTGCTTATCACAAAAGATTCAATAAGATACTATACTGTGTGAAAATTGTGCCTTGCATCAGTAGAGGGATGGGGGTATGTGATGTACTTCAATCTTGATGGACAACAAAATCCATCAGTCCTAGCACAGCTGACCAACTGAGATGGATGTTTCCTCCATGGAGACTTGGCCTTATAGGCCCCTTCCAACTCTCATTATTCTATGCTCTTATGATGGGGCATGTGGTGGTGCTGTGGGCTAAACCGCAGAAGCCTGTGGTGCAGGGTCAGAAGACCAAGCAGTCGTAAGATCGAATCCACATGACGCAGTGAGCACCCGTCACTTGTCCCAGCTCCTGCCAACCTAGCGGTTCGAAAGCATGCAAATGCGAGTAGATTAATAGGGACCACCTCAGTGGGAAGGTAACAGCATTCCGTGTCTAAGTCACACTGGCCATGTGACCACGGAAGATTGTCTTCAGACAAAACGCTGGCTCTATGGCTTGGAAACGGGGATGAGCACCGCCCCCTAGAGTCGAACACGACTGGACAAAAATTGTCAAGGGGAACCTTTTCCTTTACCTTTATGATGGGGCATGCAGCCCCAAAATATCTGCAGGACACAAATTCCCCAGCTTTGTAGCATCTGCAATATCCATTTTCTTCAGATTTATTGCTTCCAACACAAGACATGTCAATATCAGTTAGCGTTGCGACTGACGTAAACAGACATTTAGGATCAATCCCAAAAGTTGATTTGATAGTTCTTTATTACGTTCAAGTTCTTCTTTTCTTCCACCATGGTATTCAAAGCATTATACAACTGGATTTCCAGGTGGTCTCTCATGAAGAAAAGAACCTGATCTAGATTCCCTGGTTGGAAGGCATCCTGCCAGTTACCAGCGCAGAGCAAAGGATGAGGAGGAATAATGATGTGAAGTTGTTTCTATGATCAGAGGCAAAAGGAGAGTCTGATCATGATACATATAATTGGAACATGGAATGTGAGAGGAATGGTTCAAGGAAAGCTCCAAATCAGAAAACAAAAACAGAAGATTTAAACATGGTTATAACTTGGGGAGATTTCTATTATAGAAAAAAATGGTTTTCAATCTTTGTTCTAGTGCAAATCTAGTACAATAAAGTATTTCACGGAAAGAAGCACTGCAGCTACTGTTCTTGATGCAAGTTCCGGAAGCCATTACAGACAACTGTGCATGAACCTCCCCTATCTATCAGTCTCCTTCTTTCTAGCCTTTTTGTATCTCTGTTGCCTGTTACTCATGGCAGTTCGAACATGGTAGGAAATAGGTAAGGTACATAAGCGTTTTCAAAGGTCTTTACTTACCTGCCCTACTTGGACATTATTTATGGTGTTTGAAAGGGACTTTGAAACCATCTAGTTCCATCCTCTTCCACTTGGATACGCACGGTAACAAGGTGAGGGAATTTTGATACTCAGGAGCCTGACTCTGACAGCAGGTCATTCAAGGAAGAATCATCAAATTTGAAGAACCAGACTAAGATCATCCTTTTTATGAACTAATGGTCATACTAATAGAAGAGGATAGCTCCAATGGAGGATGATGACAGAACAATTCCTGAAAGGAATCTACTGGGCAGCAGTTTTAATGGAAGGGGACATTGGCAGAGGATTTTTCATAGACAACAGCAGTACTTACTGATATTGTATCCCAAAAAAAGCAACAGTGAACCACTTCTTAATATCTGAATCTTGAAAACCATATGGTGAGACAACACAAAATGAAACAAAAGATAGCAGTTTTTTTCCCTTTTAATATTTTTAACATTTTCAGACTGGAGATAAGGGAAACCATGAATACTGATCCCGTGCATACAGAGGCCCTTCTGTAATGAATTTTAAAATCTCTAGAAATTAAAGCCAGCAAGTTAATTTTTAATGAATTATTTTCAAGTTCTGGGAAAGCATTACGTTCAGGCAAATATATGTGTGTAGGAACTGAGATAACAAGATAGGTTGTTTAAATATTCAAATGGACTATCTATTACACTGGTTTTGAATCTTTCTTTCTCTAGATTTTTGGATTTTGGCTTCCAGAAACCCTAGCCAATACAGCCAATGCTCAAGGACTGTGGGAATTCGTGTCTGAAATATCTGCTGGACCAAAGGGTGAGAACTACTGTACTATTCTGCATCAACCAGATAATATTCATTTTTGCTACCAGTGAAGAGACAAGAATTTCAGATGTATCTGAGTTCCAACTATCCATATTTGCCATTTGAGATACCCTATTGTTTCTCTCAGCCAGCTGCTTGCTGAAAGAATAACAAAATATCAGAATTCGCCTGGAGAGACCCACAAATTACTACTCCCTAGAGAAATGAAGCTCAAACACAAAACTGAGCATTTCTAATACAATTTTCAGAATCCTGATCAGCAAGGAAAATCTTAGGTCAGATGGCTGCAAGACAACTTAGTATGGGTGAAAAAATTCTTTTATGCTCCAGGATATGTAGAAGGAACGTAAGGGTCCTACTCTCCAAAGCCACATAGGCGTGAATATATGGAAACAATTACTCAATAGTATGAGCAGACCATTTATGAAGGGACATATTTTAAAAAGAGCCCATTTTCAACTCACATTGAATAGAGTAAATATCAAATTGAAAAACAGATGTCAATCTGCGGTATTTTCTAAAAAGCTATCACATTCTTCACCAGAGCAATAGCTCTATAACTACTACAAGAACTACATTCCAACTCTATGCAACTGCAAGGTAGTCAACATTTGTCTTAGGTATGGAAGCTGACACCAGTCCAGCATGGGAATGAAACTTTGAACTAGATTGCTTTGTCTTCATATTGCTCAAATATGAAGAAAAACCAAACCAACTTGTAAAAGAACAGAAAACAAAAGGTTTCTTGTAGAATACCCAACCATTAATATACTCTCCACGACTGCTAAGAATAAAAACTTTATCTCATTTCTGCTTTTCTTAATTGAGTGAATGATTAGGGTTAGCCAGATAAAAGTCAATATCACAAACATGGTACTAAACCAAGCACAGATGGGCATAAGAGGCTCTAGGAGAGCTAACTCAGTGAAGGCTTCAACAATACTCTCGCTGTTTGTCCCTATCTGTTCCATATTGTGAAAGAACAATAATTTAATATTTGATTGATTGACTGACTGACGAATTGAAGTTCTAGACCACCCAGCTTAGTGAGATATTACATGGGGAATTTGACATAATTAAGCAAAACATACAAACAAAAGTAATAAAAGAATGCATAGATAATACCACAAAAGGAGTAAGTGGTTGCAGCGCACTGCTTCCCATAATGTATGATAAGCACTTCCAAAAGACTATAATTGTGAAATGAGATGGTTCCTAGAGAGAAAAGGTTCCTAGAGAGAAAAAGGCAACCAATTGGCTAACAACATTTAGTCTTTCCTTCTAGAAAAAGGGTTGAACGAAAATATTTCCCTAAATTCCATCAAATTTGGTGTCATGGAACAATTATCCACTCATTAAAAAAAATCAATACTTTGATGGAAGGAGATAAATGATTTCCTCCAATGGAATGAACTGCCCTAACTGATTTTCAGGAGTCAGCAATAAGGATCTGCACCAATTATTCAAGATAGCATCACATATTTCATTATTTTTCTCCTTGTGAACAATGGGAGAAACAGATCTTTCATAACATTATTTCCCTTTTCTGTCTCACTTATGTATGTATGCATATATGTCTCAAAATAAATGGACTTTTAACAAGCTCAACTATACTGGGAAGCTAACGTTTTTTGTAAACACATTTACTATTTAAAGTATAAAAACCCACTCTTCAGGCAATATTACAGTATTTGTAATATTGAGACTTGAAGATAAATATAAAGCTGTTCAGAGGTCATCACACTAAGCAGAAACTATAGAAATACAGTTGTGCACAGCAGTTAGTTACGCATCAAAATTTCAAATGCAAATTTTTCTCAGTGAGTAGGGCCTGCATTACAAATTACATAAGAAGGTGTGATCAAAACCAGTGCAAGCACAGTGATTGATAATGAACTGCTGCAGGCATGATTGTAAGCTCCCGGGCAGTAATAAATTGTAGAACTGCTAAGTGCTCTCTATTCCTACACCTGACCAGGAATCCTACCGGTGACTTCCACTTGTATAAGATAAAGCACAAAAGTCCTGGCAGCAAACTGCTGCTCATTAGTGAGGTGTTGGTTGCATTCCCAGTGGCATTTCCAATCATATGATCTGCACGTGTCAAGGACCACAGCCAGCACCTGGTTAACGAGTGGCACTTTGCCATTTCCTTTACTCAAGTGTAAAACACCCACTGATGCACATTTGTATTAGCTGCCAAACAACAGGGATGACCCTACTTCACATGAGTATCAGCCTTATCTACAAGCCATTGAACCAGTTTGAAAAAGTTACTTTTTGGAAGTACGACCCTCAATATCCCCAACCAACATGACTAGGGACCTGAAGACTTGTGATCCAAAAAAGAACTTTTTCAGGTTATGTAGTAAATTATTTCTAAATCCAGAAAGAGGGAGAAGATGAAATATGACTTTTTGTAGTATAGAGCTTTTCCACAGAAAGCCAAGACTGACTAGGCAGACTAAAAATTCCATCAGGCCACTTTCTGGGAGATCAGCTTTCTCCAAAATACAGTGGCAATATTTAAAATGCAACCCACAGTTATCTCAATTGCTCCTCAAAATTCTTCTTGTCACATTTTCCAAAGCATGTGGGTTGAGAGAAATACACATTCTTTCAACATTAGCCACATATATACTGTACATATGCACACACATCCATGCACGTATGCATAAATTCATTGAGGCCAATGCTTGCTTCACTGAAGAAATTCTGGTTGCTTCAATAGGCACCAAGAAAAAAACAATCTAAAGACATTTTTGCTTTGTTTTC